CCCGGCTATATACTACAATTTAAAAGAACACATATAATGTGAGACATTGAAGACACAAAACATATGCAGTAGCTGAATCATTTAAAGCATCTGTAGCAATAAAAAGGTTAGCTTACAGCACAAAATGAAGCATGTGTTGGACCGCTGAAAATGTAAATGTTACTTTCTTATTTGCAAACAAAAATCATATTTACAGTATGGATCCTTTGCAACAAACACACAGGGCAGGGAAGATGTACTGATTGGTGTATACAATTAATACCATACGGGGAATTAACTTTCAAATACTAATGAAGTGACTTTTTGTCTCAGTATAAAAATACTGAGCTCATCATGCAAACAATGTAACACATTTACACTATCCCACTCTCATAGAAAGTGTAGTGGGCTTATGGTATTAAAGTAACAATCATACCAGGCACACAGATCCCATGTGAAATAATTTACAATAAAACAGAGTAATAAACTATACTTCTATGCGACAGAAAGAATAAAGCAAAAGATTTAAGTAGGTCTATCAGGTACAACTTGCGAGTCAGTTCTTTTCTAATATACAGTACTGGTATCTTATATATATATATATCCTATATATATTGGTCACTCAGGACCTGAACTTACATTTCCCATACTGCTGACTCAGGGCAGACACACTAATAACTTACCAAAGTGTGTCCCCAATATAGACAATCACACACAAAGAACTCTTAAGACAAACAAAGGTGACCAGGAGAAAGATAAGTTTGGGGTATACTTATAGATCTATAAACCATGCTCCTCAGAATACCTATAGTCTTAATAAACCGGAGACCTCTTATGGTCTCAAAACATGTATCTACCTGAGATACCCTGTATCTATCTTAGATACTAACCTGGGTTACCAAAACCCTATAATAAACCGGAGACCTCTTATGGTCTCAAAAACCTGTATCTACTTGAGATACTAGATACTAACCTGGGTTACAAAATTCCTATAATATTTAGACCAAATGTCTAATAAACCGGAGACCTATTTACAGTCTCAATATAACTATAAGTCCTTACACCTTTCCTTTCTACTGGATACAGACTTACTGAACCAAAGGGGATCATAGACAATTAGCGTCAATAAGACACAAAAAGGCTACTTACCACAATGGTT